CGATAGATTTAAATTGCCAAAAAGCCTAGTGTCAAGTTTGCCCCGGTGTCGAGTTAGCCCCGGTCTCCCCTACCGTATTTTCTAAAAAAACGTTATATTTCAAAAATGTTTTCACGCTATCTTGGAGCAACAAAAAAGCAACAAATTCTGGTGTATTTGTTTTTTGGATTTGAGCACTCTATATAGGTTTTTTATTATGACGACAAGCTGCCCCCCCCCCCATTTCGATCGCCGTTTCCTGCTAAACGGCTTGAGCAACAAAATCCGGACTAGAGCAACAGCACATAAATAGCACTAAATTTTTTAATAAGTGCGGATTTTTTTGCAATAGTGGGGGGGTTAACTTGATAGAGGTGGCATTGACGTATAATAATGGGCAGTACGCGACAGTGTTCATAATTGCATGGCATTGCCTTAATTTTATATTATTTATATATAGGATTGACGGCATTATAGGTATTGACTAAGCATTGTCGGCAGTGTACGAAAATGTCGGCAGTGTTTTACAGCAATGCCAAAAATCGGCATTGGTGTACAAAATTTTGGGTTGTGAATTCCCCCCAATCTTGTACAGATTATTCGTATCAGTAACAGCTTCGCAATTCGTAATTATATTCCGCGTAACATTCTAATTTTTGCAATTTGATTTTTTGTACACACGAGTTCGCTCGCGTTCAACAAGCACTCACAAAATTACACGAGAAGAAATGTTCAATAGCATTCAACGCGTAATACCGTGCAGATATTAGATAATCTGTACCAACCGCCGCCACACAGTGGGTCCAAATGAAAATTCATGTTTCAAAAAAGGCTACAGTCTCGAAAGGATCTCCCGCACAAAACCAATGGAAAAGTCCTGATCAAAAGTCTCAATGGCTGCAAGTTCAGAAAATGACCAGTTTCCAAGATACTTGGTCTCAAAGTGTTGAAATCGACGATGACGGTTCACGTATAAAAAAGCCCTGTTTTCAAAGCTTTGCAACACGTCTGAAGGTTCTTCTGATATGTGTCAGACAGTTTTAGGATGGTCGGCATGTTTGTGAAAATATACATGCATTTAATATATTCATAAAGTTTTAAAAATAGGACTTTTCATTCGTGAACCGTCATCGTCGATTTCAACAGTTTAAGACCAAGTATCTCGGAAACTGGGCATTTTCTGAATTTGCAGCCATTGAGACTTTTGATTAGGACAGTCTGAACTTCATCGTACTAAAACTTCAGCCAATTTGACTGGGGCCACTTTTCCATTGGTTTTGTGCGGGGTCCTTTTGAACCGATTTCGATGGTTCTTTTTTTAAATAAAAGTTAATAAAATTTCGAACAACTTTGTCGACTCAGATTTTTGTTTTACTTCCCTTCTTTATTAATTCAGAAAGTTTTTATAATCAAAGTAGATATCATCTAATTTAACATCAGACAGATATTGATATTGAACTTAAATATTCAAACCCTGATTAGGCTTGAAAAAACCTTACTTATTAGTCTCACTAAATTTTACCTTATTTTAATAAATAAGCTTAATTGAAATAATACCTAATTTTAGTAGATAAGAACTATTGAACGAAGTAAGATTAAATTCTATTATTTAAACAATTTTTTATTAATTATTGTTAATAAGGATATTGTTAATTATTGTTAATAAAGTTTAAGTAATTAACAAATTTTGAGCTTCCGCGTATATCGGAGTTGGAGAATGCTTCCACTCATTGTCAGTGCGAAATGATCTGAAGAGATCAAAAGCTTATACTTGTAATGTCTTCATTTGTTACCAATCCGTTATGTTTTCGTGTATTAAATTCTCTAAAATGTTTAAAAACTTTATTGCGTGCCTCTTGAGCCTTTTGTACTATTTTAATTAATCTTGTTTGTTAAGATAAGGTAAGATTTAATGAGACTATATCAATCTGGTCAATAAGGTTTTTTCAAGCTTAATCAAGGTTTAAATAATTAAGTTCAATATCAATATCCGCCTAATTAAATTAGAGGAGATATCTACTGTTTACTTATTTATGTCTGATTAAAAAAATGGAAATAAAAGACAAAAATTTAACTCGACAAAGTTCGAAATTTTACTAGCTTTATTAAAAAAAAAGTATCGAAATCGGTCAAATTTCGAGACTGCAGTATACAGCCTTTTTGAAACACGAAGTTTCATTCGGCCCCACGGCGCGCTGTGTCGTCCGAAAGACGAACTTGAATAAAAGGACAGTCGATGCGGCCGATTCTGGTTGTGAAATCTAATGGTTTTGCTCGGTAATCTCACACTCTGATTCACGCGTTACATCACCTTTCTACCTTTCTACCTTTTCCATGATATTAGCGCTGTCGCGAATGCTTAAAAGTTCCTTAAATAAGACGTGGACTCGCGTTACATCGTGCCGACACGGGCATAGTGTCCATTTATCACATTTAACTTCTGACACTCTCGCGCGGAAGTGAGAAGTGTCATATCGCGAGAGATTCATTTAACGTCCCGAATGTCGCGGATTAATTCCCACATTTCGTAAGAAGGGATACCGAGAGAGAGCTATATATTTCCCAACGTGCTTGAACCTCTCATCGGAAGCATGAGAGAAATCGGTCGGAATTTCAGGAATATTCCTTTTCTATTTGATCCACAAGAGCGAAATCTCCAGTTTCTAACGTAATGCTGAAAGACTCAAACGAGTTTGGCGTCATATTTTCGCCGTTATAGGTGCCAGCCCGACGTTTCGTGGACAGAAATAAAATTTTACATCGCGGAAGTGCCGCATCGCGATGACGATTAATTCTATCTGCGATATCTATCTACGATAAAATCGGCAATCCTCTCGAACGAATCTCGGACTACCCGGCGTATATGCATCCGAGTATGTATGCGGACCATAAAATCTCGACACGGTGCGGCGCGGCGCAGTGCGTCCGGCTGATGTTCGCGCGCGGTTTCACCGAGAGGATTTGACACGGCATGAGCAGTCGGCAATACATTTTTGCCACCGCACCGGCTAGACAGCGAATATTCCCCGTTCAGAAATAAGATTCCAGAATGCGGAAACATTGGCATTAAACGTGGCGGGCCCGATGTGTACGTGCTTCGAGAGGCCGATGACGCTTACCATCGCCGACATTCGCTCGTGCCTGCGTCGTGGGAGCGGGCTGTAAAACGAGTAGGAAGCGAATCACTCCGCGAGAATCCTATCCAATTAATTTTTTACGGAAAAAAGGTAAAAGACTGATAGCGACCGTTCGTTGCATCTACTCGCGGAACTACCGCGTGTCGGGACAAAACTACGCGGATACGTATCTGCGTACCTGCGAAGATAAAAGACAAGGAGAGAGAGGCATTTGTTATTATCCACGATTCTCCACGAGTCTATAGCGGCTACGCTAACAAACGCTTTTAAATGTATATATCGGAAAAAAATGCATGATTAAGATGCCTCAATTTCCTGTCGCACTTTAATCTTTCCATCGTCGCGCGCATTATATAAGGACCACTCTTAATTTTTTCTTAATTTCTTCTTGTAAAAGCAGCAGTCAGCATTTTAGCATATCGGGATAACTTTGTTGACTATTCGATTTTAGGCTGTAAATTACAAATTTTAAGCATTTCTTTCTATTCTGATTAAAAATCGTGACTTGGGGTAGGCAACGGCTGCACGATCGGCGTTGCTCGTTGCTATTTTACAAGGCAACGTGAGGTGTTCGTTATTCAGCGTTACTGGTTTCTCGAGCGAGATCGTGACATGTCAGGAGGATCTCAATGTGAAGTTCGCAACACGATCGAGGGCGAATTCCTGGCGGACTTTCACCGTGCCGAAGGACGAGAGATCGGCGTAAACTGCAAAGTATTCATGTGGCTTAATAATATCTATTGTTATCGATCAGGCCGATCCGGTACGCTGACCGTACGTCGCATGTCCGCCTGACATTTTCGCTTCATTTCGCGAAGGAGTGACTTCGGACACGACGCCGTAATCCGGAATATTCGTTACCTGAGACCGTGAATACAATCTACAGCCCCACTGCACATAGACGCAATAGTATTGTCGAAATTGTCGAGTCATACCTTAATGTCCCCGCGATAAGATCGTTCAGGAAAGTAATACGCTTGATTCTAGTTTTTGCGGTCCCGCATTGTTCGCCGATCGCAAACAAAAAATTGCGCGTTTTTACCATTTAAGCTCGTTTCATAAATCTTTAACATTTTATAGATCTTTAATAATAATTTCTATATTTCTCTACCTTTGTTCGGGTTCTTGCTTCTCTCCTCCGTGTATTCTGCAATCCTGCTCACGAGGTTCGCTTCGTCATCTCGCGCTGCAACAAATGCGCGTACTATTTATTTATTGTACACGGTGTGTCTAACCATTATCGTATCAACCTTTAAGCATAGCATGTCTGCGCGCGAAAGGGTATAACTTCGTTCACTGGCCCCGTAGCTACGACCGTGCGAGAAATCACTGTCATTCTGTCGAAATAACGAAAGTAACCGATTGCCCGAAGGCGACAAGTGAAGAAAAGAATCAGATTAAAATGCATAATAATTTGTATTTTTTTAAATCACGCGTATCTTCGAGTCGTATTTGTGAAATATATTTTTATAAACGCGTTTGCAATTGTGCAACCGGTAGGACATTTCTATATGGATGATATTTCAATTAAGAAAAGTTGAACGGCGGGCGACACAGAGGACTCCTACGAAATAAGAGACGTGCATAAAGAGGTCACTGATAATGAATCGAGGTAATAGTTTGCGTCGGTAAACACAGCTGCACCCCGTTGACTCCAGTTGACCCGCGCTTATTAAATACCAGATACACCAAACTGTGAATGTACACCAAAGTGCGAAGTTCTCATAAAAGAAATTTTTTTTTTCATATAACACATAAAGCGTTTTCATCAAAAATTTCGATGACACGACTCTTTATCTCCAAAATAATAATTTCGTCCTATAATCAATTTTTATTGTAACTAATATAGGAAACTTTATTTGATTTGAAATTCTGCAAGAGCTGTAATTTGCGCATGCATATCTCGCATGCTCGAGTGATCGCATTTGTGAAAAGTCGCCGGTTGAATTGAACAGTTAGGAAAACCTGATTTTTTTTGCATTGCGTCGACGATGCATTGCATTCTTCGTCGGTGAACACTATCGCGGCGGCAAGCGGATTAGTCGCGCGATCTCAGTCGTTTTACGACTTCTTGTATTGTGGTCGATTTTTCTTCTGTTCATACGAGCTTAAACTCATCGTGAGTTTTACTCGAATCGTCTTCGTTGACATCCTAATGTGGATTTACTTTAAAGAATGTCGCGCATGACCATTTGTTACTACTGTTACTAGCCACCGAATGAAAAATGTGCATTAAAAACACAGCATTGTTAAAAAACACAAGTATTCAAAATTAGAAAGATCGTGAACTGAAACTTGTGATACACGATGGCCTTTTATCCAATGTACATTTAGACGTAATTAATTTCAAGCTGAAAAATCCAAAGTTAACAGCGTGCGGTCTTTGGATTACTTTCTACATCTCCGTAATATTTTTCGCAATAGTCAATTATTTTCCGAGTTATCGGACAAATCCAGAAATATACGAAGAACGATAGAAAGGAGAGGGCGAGATAGATACAGAAGGGAGGAGAGAAAGGACCATGCAAAGTTCAGCGAGCCCAAGAAAGGCAGATGCACGGAAACTGAGCGAGCGAAAAGGAGAGAGAGGCAGAAGGAAGGAAGCAGAAGGAACGAGAGAGATCGAGGAGCTGTAAGGAGCTGAAAGAGAGAAAAGGGAGTAAGGAAAAATAAGAAGAGTGGTTCCCCTCCTCGGTCCGAGAGGTTGGGAGCGGGTGGCCTTGAGCAGGTCATCACCTCCGGCTGCGGTGTGGTGATGCTGCCTGCGCTGGACCATCTTAACTTCTTCTTCTTCTTCTTCTTCTTAACTCCTTGAACCGTCCTTCTCTCCTCCACCATCTCTCTTCTCTCCTCGCCAACCTTTTCCTCCTTTCTTCTCCCTACGCTCTCATCTTTCGCTCCATCCTCGTTCTTTCTCTCTTCCTTACGTCCCATCCGGCTCGCCAGAGTTACTTTGTCACTCCTTCTCTCTCTCTCTCTCTCTCTCTCTCTCTCTCTCTTTTCTCCTCCTGCCCTTCTTGTTCTCTCCTTCCCGCTTTAGACGCTCTTTACACTTTCCTAAAGGCCTTCGCTCGGCCGCAGAAACAATCCATTCGTGCTAACTCCGGCCTCGGCCGAACCGACGGACGGGACGTGGTGAATGCACCAACGTCGCGGTACCGAGAAGTCAAGGGCCAGTCGTACCAAGAAAAGTCCTCAAGTTTTTTTTCGACTTGGAGAAATCCATGAGGCACTGCATACAATTCGATCCACAATCTAAACATCCATCTTTACAGAAGATATGTCGGACGATGACACAGCGGGAAACGATTTCTCCTGTCCGAACGCTCGTTCAAAGTACGAGTACATCGTCCCATCCTATTTAATCTAATCGCCTTCGGAAAATAAAAAGGTCGCGTCAGTCGTAATCGCGCTGCTTTCATTATCGCACGCGCCACGCCAAGGTCGCGTATATACAAAAACCGTAAATTATCGAGCGTGTTGCCGAGTCGATTCCGCGTGTCGTTTCCGCGGCGAGGCAGGATCACGCAAATTGCGTTTGACAAACTGGATCGACGGCGGTAGTTACCGCCTTCTCGCGAGCGTAATGATCGGCGCGTGGCTATATACATGGAGCGCACGTAAGGAACCAGACGTTTACTACACGAGCATCCTTGCGCTCTGCAGCATCGCGCGCGATCGCGCAAGCCGGCGAGAGAGAGGAATATTTCCAGAGCGCGCGATCGGATAAAGTTGTAACGCCCGAGGTGGATTTTATAAAACGGTTTAATGCGTGTTCTGTACACGCGGCCGTGTCTAGCCGTGGTGATCGAGAAGCGCGCTAAGTCGTGTTATTTTCTTCATAGGTGCAACATTCCGACACTCGCTTCTCACGCTCGTCGAAAGTGCAGTCGGCACGCCGCGCCGAGCCCCGCGCCGAGCCGAGCGCTGCAAATTGCCGGGCGTGACGAGGATTTCGTGTCGTTTCCGAGGGAAAGGATCACGCAAATTGGATTTGACATAGTGGATCGGTGGTAGACCCACCCCTTCCAGGATGTAATGATTGGCGCGTGGCCGCGCGGCCACGCATATAGCGCTCGCGAACGCGGACAGCCGATTGTGCACATGCATAGACGAACGTTTCACTCGTCGGCATTGAATCTGAAATTTTTCTTTCTGATTATCGCGGCGAATAATTACGAGAGCGACTCCTATAATGTTCTTTTAAAAAATAGGCTCCGTCTTTTTCATTTTTTTTTTTTTTTTAATGTAGAAACGATAAATCTTTCACAATTACAGTTCTAACTGATGGGTGGAGAATTTCAATTCTATCAAACGAACAAAAAAAAGTGTCAATATCTGTGCTGTAAATCGCACGTGAAAGAAGGCACGACGATACCTGGCGTTTACAGCGGCCGGCGCGCGGCGTTTCGGTGTTGCCGCGCCGAACGACCGGGACACGAAGGACCGGATCGTCGAAGTCGGTGTGCGGACTTAAGTGAATGAGGAAGATAAACATAATAATTACGGCAAATTGAGGCCTGCCACTGAAAACAGCATTGTGGCGAGCAGAGAGGAGGCGAGAGAAAGAAGCGGGTCCGCGCGCGCGGGCCCTGGCCCGCGACGTGTATCGGCGGAATAAACGCGTTTAACGTTACTTGGCGTGCCAACAGCGGTAGCGTAGGTGAGCAGGGGAGTTTATCGGGAAATACATTCAGACCCTATAGTCACCCGTGGTTATGCCCACGAGCCCCGGGAACATTGTAAATTATTAACGTTGTCCGCTCGTCCCCGACGATGTTTTTCTCGGAATATTATTTTCAGGGGAAACGTTCAGTTTCTTTTTTCTCACGAATTTATTGACCAAGCGTCGAGAATCGTCTCTTCGCCTTCTACATTCTCTTTAGCGTGGTTTCGTTTTGAAATGTGGAGTGGCGTCAAGAATAACCAAACGAAATCGCTATATAATATGCGCTCGGCCGGAAGTGCGGTATTCGCCGTGTGGGTCGCTACTCTCAGACGATACTATAAATTGCTCTAATCTCGCGATAATAGGCGTATCCATTCTCGCGCTCGCGTGACGTGTCGGTGAGGTGGGAAGACACGTTGCACATGGCGAAAGAACGCGTGCTTTATTAACTCTTATCAGCGCTTTTAATTTCTTCGCGAACGAAATAACTGTGCTCGCATCGTCAAGCTTTACGTCGAGATTTCTCTCATGGGTCTGGATAATCTCTTGTTGAAGAATCTCAACACTTAACTGATTAATTGGTAGAACAAGTGTATTTCATATCGCAACCCGTACAAAACAGCTAATATAAATAGAATTTTAACTTTTATCGTTCTAAAAACAATTTCAAGTATTCTTCTAAAATATTTTTATCGCCATTTTTTTTTCGTATTGCATATATTTTTTAGAGATATCTCAGAGCGGTAAGCTATTTCTGGATCGCATCATATAATTCGCATTGTATCTCATTTTATTCTAAGGCCACGTAACGAATGTAAACGATTGAAAGGTGCATCGATTTCGATTAAGTAACGACCTCGACCTAGTGAATTACGCGTTGCATTCGGGAATTTAGCCCCGCGGCTGCGATCGAGCCTCTCGCATCCCCGCGCGCGCGTCCACGCGGAGCGATGAAGTTCGCCTGATTGATGTGTCCAGGCCGGTTTTCGATGCCGCGACGCCGCGGGCTGCTCGCCCTTTTTAGACCCCAAAAATGATCTCAAATAAAAATAACCGATGAAATTGCCGAGGTGGAAACGACGGTTTTACCGTCCGATCGAGATATCCTATTTCTGGTAGCGCATCTCGAGAGAGGAAATCTCAACGACAGCCCCCCGTTGCGGTGTCGACGTACGAGCGCGCATTTTTCAAATCGCTTCGCCGTCTTCTTTTTATTTCGTTATGGCGTATGTTTATTTTAGCTAAGTACAGAAACCGCAAACGATGTATCTAAGAAGAAGAGCCGGCCCGCGCATGTCTTCTACACGCGGCGATCTTCCGCCGTCTTCGCGAATACCTACACGTGTATCTCCGCGATGCACGCGATGTATAAGGCGCGCTGTTAGTGTAATAATAAACTCTCTTGAACGCCGCGGCATGGTCTAACAGAATGTATCTTGCGAGTCACAGTGACTGACTACTTGGCGCCTGCACCGATAAACCAACTTCACCGGGCTCTCGTACTCTTCGTGCACGAT